ACAAACACACACACACACTAACACACACACTAACACATGCACACACACACACACACACACACACACACACACTCATATACACATACACACACGTACTCACATACGTACGCACACACACACATACACACATGTACACACATACACATACATATACACATACACACATATACACACATAATATATGACATATACATTACATAAACCACGCACATTAGCCTACACCCTGCCACTTATAGATGTGTACTACACACAAAGAATTGATCAACGTTCCTGCCTAGTTGCTCTTTTGCTAATTCTTATGAAAGTAATTCAGAGGTTGAGAATTCAGAGAATGGAAATTGAGGGGCATTGGTGAGGTGAGGATACAAAGGAAAGATGCCGATACAAACTGAACGTGAACAAAATACACACAAGTATAAAGATGACTCATTTGCATACTGAAAAGGTTTAAGCATGCACGGGTGCACCACATCCTCAAGCGTTTTGTTTGCATTTCTTTTAATTTTTGTCAATTTGTATAATGGATGTAGGATATTAAGGGGCATTACAGTATTTCTGAAATTATGAAACGTAAAAATAAAGGTATAGCTAGATATGGAGCTGGCAACTAGACACTCGAGGAACGGTTTTGCGAAAATCGGAAATAAGAAAATCCAGCCAGCTCAAAAGACATATTTGCCTTACCGTTCGTTCAGCTCGCTTCTGAAAAGACCAGGAGCATAATGAGAGAACCAAAACAAAACCAGAAAATCTGCAGAGTAACAAAAGTTTGCTGGGGAGAAAGTGGGGCAGTTTGAAACTTCACATTCAGAAATCACTTTTGAATTTTCGAATTTTGTGTGTGTGTTTATTGTTTAGATGAGAAAAGACTGAAGTAGATCTAAGACCATAGATGTACACTATAGGCACAAAGGTTTAAAAGGAGATAACTCTATGTCTAAGACAGACTGGTAACATGCGACTTTTGGTGACTTAGCTACACATTGGTAACTAAACAGAAGCCTTGTGTGACGATAGCCTAAAGCTCCCGGCAAGGGACTCACAGTTCTCCTAGGGCTGTTCTTCACTGATAATTAACAGACCAAGACTTCGTCGTTTGACGAAAGACCTTTCATCTCATATCCCTTCCCTGGGTAATAAGTAGTCAGTAGTCACTGCTTTCAAACAGAAAGGGCAATCCTTAGTGTGAGGGAATTACTCTCTCGAATGCCAATGATCAATCAAGTGTGCGAGCCTTACTGGTATAGGCCGACATAATGTGGCATGAAAACTTTGAGTGTCGTCTCGGTCTCCATTTCCTTCCTTCTTCCTCTGTTTTCCTTTTCCTTCTTGGACCTTAAATGTAACTAGGTCAACGGATCCGCCTTTAAAATGACAAGTAGGCCTACATTTACGTATACAGTGCATTGTGTCTTTTGTAGAACGTAACGTTCAACATACGATCTCTCTCTCTCTCTCTCTCTCTCTCTCT